TGCACCACCACCATCCCCAGACGGTGGCGGAAAGAGTGAATACCAGTATGAAGATGGAAGTCAACCGGATCTAGATAAGATTAGGAATATGAGCCCTAATTTTGGGGTCAAATTTGCCTCCTTTTGCGAATGGATTTGAGTTAAAACTTATGGCGGGGACGTCACCTTGGGGACCGGCCTTAGCCACAGCCATAACATCTCCGGACTTGGCATTGTTAGTACCCAATTTTGATAGATTTTGATGATGTCACTATACTTTGCACCTGTACATTGTGTCTTGTTTAATTCAAGTATTAGTGTTTAAATTTTGATCATAAGTGACAACTAAATGTACAATTTTTGAGATTAATAAAATTATACTGGAAATTTTAAAATGCAATAAGGTAATTTTTTACCTTAAATAGGATATTTAAATCCTACCAGTATAGTTTTATTTGTACGCAAAATTTAACTGTCACCAAAAGAAAAAATCACAAAAGGTTCGAATATCACATACATTGAATGTATATGATTGAAGACAAAATTTGACCTGCATTTAATACAAAAATAGTATTGGGGTACGGAGGATTGAAGCGCACACATGGGACTGTTTTTGAAGAGATGCTTTAGCGACTGAATAATAGAGGACAAAGGAAATCACCAGGAAATCAGCTCCAGCACAAAAAAGACGAATAAACAGTTCGTCCTTGCCAGATTTTCAACGCCAGAGATTAAATCATCCTAACCAACAGATGAGATTAATCCAAAGGCGAAGCCTATAAATGTAGGCTGAAACGAAAATGGAATAAGCAGTAGGATAAGCAGTAGGATAACCCTACTGCTTATCCTACTGCTTATTCCATTTTCGTTGAGATTTCAGAACTTGGGAAGGATCTGACTTCCAAGGAGATCAACTTAAAGGTTCTCAGAGGTGTACCTTCACCCTGGAAGATGAAGGTCACTGCCATGAGAGACAGCAAAGATCTCAGGACCTACAGCACTGAGAAACTCATCTCTGATCTCAAGTCTTATGAGTTCGAGATGAATGAAGTAGAGAAAGAAGAAGTTGAGGACAAAACAACTACTGCCCTCACAGTCAGCACCTCACAGGTAAATAACTTTGACCTTTCCATACTTTTAACTGACGAATATATGGCTGCTTTTGCCAGAAAGTTCAGGAAGTTTATGAAGCCCAAGGATGGCAGAAGTCCATCCTCCAGCAGAAAGCCACACAGAAGACCAAGTCTTCAGAAAGCAATGGAGAGCTTCTCTGCTAGTCTGCTACAACTGCAGACAACCTAGGCACTTCAAAGCCAATTGTCCACACCCTCTTGTGTCCAAGAGATAAGGCCAAGAAGGAGAGAAGAAGTACGAGCACAGAAGGAGGAAGACACTCATCACTGAGCAACCAGAGAAGGACCCCCTCTCTGAGACAGAGTCCAGCTCAGAATCAGAATCTGATGAGGCATTCTGTTGCCTGGATACAGAAACTGAAGACCTATGCCTTATGGGTCAATCTGATGATGAGGTAACCTCTACAAAAACTGAATACCTTCCATTTCTGGCACTCGTAAAAGCTTCTGCCAGTGTCCCTCCCAACACAAAGCAGAGCTTTCAATCCGCAAAAGCAATACACAGCAGGCTCATACTCAAGGGTAGACCTTCGTCCTTTACTCGCCGTTGAAGTAGATGAAGATGACATGGAGAGATGGGTGCAAAATCACTTCTGACCTAGATTCGTTGGTGGTAGGGATAAAGAGAATGAAGATGTTAGTTCAGGGTATTTACAACACTTAGATCACTTCCACGTAGGTCACCAAGCCAGCACGTTAAAGGGAAACCGGGAGTTAACCTGTTAAAAAGAGGATTTGAAGAAGATGGCATACTTTGAGGGCGTAGTTGAAGAAACTTTAAGTAGGAGGGAATAATTGACTATCCGTACAAAGTACAGGGGCTGATTTGACACTTTTCTCTAAAATTTCAAAGACTGGGAAAAAAACTAAAGTACTTATATTTCGATTAAAATTCAAATAATATTTTTGGTTCTCTATTTGCATTTACATCTAAGTCTTTTAACAAAAATGGTTTCAATTAAACCTAATCAAGCGATAAAATGGCAAATTATAGTATTTCAATATTTTCCATACTACCAAAATCATCTTTATCAATGTTTCACATCTTGTGGTCGCTTGTGCGGCTATTAAATTTTCGTCATGTCGTGTATGAAACCATGGTTATAGGTCCGATACGTGTATCAGTTCACGGATACAGGTATCACAAGTATCTATATTTTTAAAAATAAGTCCAATACTTTTAGTAAATTACAGATACGGATCCGATACGTACATGACGCGTATCGGTGAGTATCAGTATCAAATACATATCGGATACGCGGATACGACATTAGGGTGAAGTATTGGTTCATCATAGATTAACAATGCACATATTTCCTTTTTTCTTGAAGAGTAAATATATTTTGCATTTGCATTTTATTCGTAAAACAAAACCAAACAAGGAAAGTGTAAAAACATTTGGGAAAGTTCTCGAAATAGGACTAAAACAGTTTGAAAATTCCAAAAATATGGCTGTCATGTTTTTTATTCCCAAAATAGGACTAATTACTGTCATGTTTAGAAAATACTGCCATGTTTGAAGTCTGGTACTGCCAAAACTCGGCAGTAATTAGTCCTATTTTGGGAATAAGAACATGGCAGTCCTATTTTGGAATTTTGAAACTGTTTTAGTCCTATTTCGGGTAATATTCTCAAAACATTTAGAAGAATGTTTGGTGTACCCCAAATTTGTACACAAAGTATACACTACCAGTGTGCACAAGCATTTTGACAGAAAATCCCACCTTTTTCAAACGAATTGCATGTGTACACAGGCGACTAGGGGGTAGGGGGTGCGTACAAATTGGGGTACAAATTGGGGTACCTATAGCACTTATGAAACATTTATGCTCCATGGTGGCCCTGTATAAACGTCAGCGGGTTCCTACTTATCTCAAATTTCAATTCAAAAATGCTACATGTACCCCAAATTAGTACCTCATTTGTACCCCATATAAAAACCCTCCTTTTCTACAATTTTTTTACCCCTCAAACATCTCTCATCCCACACCCCTGCATTCGTTGAACCCCTACCCTTCTTCCCCCAATTTTTTTCCGGACAAGCAAGCTAGCTACGGTGAAGCAAATGTCGAACGATTTCCATCTTCTCCGTCTTTCATCTACGCGGGTGACGTTGGGTAGCTTGACATGGGGAGAACTCAGTGACGTTGCCAACTGCAGACTTACGCTGATTGTTGTTTTGGATGCGACCTCAAGGGAAAACAACGACGAAGGTGCAGCAGACCAAGAAGTTTTGAATGACTTGGGTAGATCTTCTTTTCTTGATTTTGTTTTCTTGATTTTTTGGTGTGTTTTCAAAATGAAGAGGGTTGTCTGTCTGACAGACAACTGGTAATTGTAGTGTTAGTATACTCAAACATGGTTTCATAGGTTGTGGAACCTTGAACTAAGATGTCTGTCACACAGACAACTCATTTGTTTGTCTACATAGAACTACTATCTGTATGCACATACAAGTATTGGTACACCTGTATTTTGTAGTACGTTTTGATGAGTTTAGTAATTGTTAATGTAGTTATATATAAGTGTTCCACATATGGTTGTATTTGTTAATTTACAGATGAATTTTGTGAAAACAAAACATGTACACTATTGTCTGGAAAAACAGATGAAAGGGAAGAAAACAATGTTGGTATGGAGTTCCCTAGTAAAGAAGCAATTTAAAAGCCACGATGTTGGTAAGTATTAAACTCAATATTTTTTGGAATTACTTGTATTGTCTGTGTTAACTGTTCTAAATGTATGTTAGTGCTTTATTTGTCTGTCTACAGATCCGGAGAATGTGGCGTGATGGTCTTATCGATCATATACAGAGCAGCTGGCAGCTGCTACTGAGAAAGTTATTTCTTCCTGACTATGACTACACCAACATGTCAAATAAAAGATTGAATTTGCTATTGGGTTTTGACGCTTGGGGAGCATAGAGTGTTGAGGAAATGTGTCGATTTTGAACTTGTGATTTTTTTAACATGTGTTGCTTTTGCAAACATTACATATAACAGTTGGAGAAATGTGTCAAATATTATGCTATATTACATGTTCAATGTTGTACAATGTTCAAAAATTGACTTGGGTTTTTTGAACATGTGTGAGTTTTTGCAAACATTATATGTACAATTATTCACTTATGTATGTGGATCTTTTGGCTGACTGGGTATCCGCCGTATTGTCTGTATGTGTAGAGTTATTGTCTCTCTGCGTAAAAATAATGTTTGTCTGGTTATTCCTATTTTCTATCTCGATATATGTTTCGTCTGTCTTTTTTACGAAACATATGCCAAAAATGGTAATTCACAACAAACTAATGTCTATGTGTATACTTATTGCCTGCATGTGTATACTTAATGTCAACAATGGTAATTCAAAACAAACTAATGTTTCAATCCAACTCATTATTATTCAGACATAGCGTTAATACAATAGTTGTACCAATACTTGTATGTGCATACACACAATAGTTATATGTGTAGACAAACAAATGAGTCGTCTGTGTGACAGACATTTTAATTCAAGGTTCCACCTATTATCAAACCGTATACAAAACCCTTTTCATTTGGAAAACACACCAAAACGTGAGGAAAACAAAATCAAAAAAAGGAAGATGTATTCAAGTCATTCAAACTTGGGAACAGTATAGCTCCCACTTTTGACATGTAAAAAAAACGACGGAAGAGGGAGTAGCTGAAGACGAGTCCGCTCTGCTTGATATGGCCATGTTGCCTTCTATTTGATTCCATTTTATTGAATAGGAAGAAACAAAAAAAAAGAGGGAAGAAGAAGATGGGAAATAAGGGGAGATGGGGAGTTAGGCGCAAGAAAAGAGAAGTGGGTAAATTTTGGGAAAGTTTTTATATGAGGTACCGATAGCATTTTTCATTTCAATTTTATTTTCCGAACGAAATGTCAGCAACGGCGGCTGGTCTTATCCTACCGGTTATAGGATTTTCCTGCTCCAGATTACGATGCTCGGCCCAAACTCCCGCCATCAGAGTCGACTTTCCACCCCACAAATCTGTGCACTGGGATAGCAGAAATACCACCATGAACGGCGTTGTTGCGGCTCGAATCAATGCAGACGACGACGATCAGGGCGGTCTTGCGCCGCTCGAACAAGAAGCTCTGATAAACGACTCCATAATCGTGGCAGCTTCTCGACTTGAAGCCACTCTGAATAACACGGTTGCGTAAATTTGTTCTGTTTCCTTTCGAAAATTTGAGATTTTGTGTATGTGTGTGGTTGGGGGAGGATTGGGGGATTTAGTAAATTGCTCATTCTCTTGGAGATTCCTTGTACGCATTTGATGCTTTGTTCGTAGAAAAACCTATAGCATATTTTAGTGAATGGTCAAAAGGGTAGATAATAATTTGAACGTTTAGGGAAACCCAATTTATAATCGATGTATGGACATTAGATAAATAGATTAGCATGTTATGTAAGGAATCTTCTAAATTATACGGAGTAATAAATTTGTGATTGTAAAAAATGCAATGCAGATATGTAAAAATTAAGTTCAGCTCCAAACATTTTCAATCAAACACTTTTTACTTCTAGTTTCTCAACCATTCTCTTAAGGGATATGGTTAACTTGACTCATGAATTAATCATAGTGCCCTATTATAAGCCGCAATTACCATCCATATTTGAAATCATTTTCTGAACAAGATTTGTTTTTTAATTGTAATTGATTAAATCCCACAACTCATAAGCCAGTGATATTCTTGAATGATGTAGCTTAGCATGGAAAGGTGAATACCACCTCCATCTCATTAAGATTGAGACTTTTTTGCTACTTTATCATTAGGATTATTATTTTATTCATATCTAAGAATTATAAGACTAAAATATTACTACCTCCGTCCCAAAATGATGGTCCTGTATTTCCTTTTTGGGATGTCCCAAAATGATGGTCATGTTTCCCTTTTTGGAAAGAAAGATGTGGTCAATATCATTTCACTTTATTATACTCAAATCTCAACCACAACTTTTACCTTTTCAACCACTTTATTAAAACTTGTGCCCAAAAGAAATGAGACCATCAAATTGGGACGGAGGGAGTACTAGATTTGTGGGCATCTATATTTTTAAATTTAATCACCCGGTCCTAGTCGCTACTCTGCCCATGATAGAGTTGCTGCCGAGTAGCCATTTAACTACTTCGCAAATAAGATGAACCGATTGGAGAATGGTGCCAGATGGTGAAAACTCATCATCTTTATTTACTTAAATCTTTTACTGCATTTCATACCTGGACTTTTCATGGTTTTACTGTGAACCCTTCACAATAGTTAATTGTAGGAAAAGAATAATCACTTTTTACGCTAACTCATATAGAGCATTATTACACTCGAAATGCAGAGTAAGTGGCTTTTTGCTGTGCTTTTTGGTTTAACCTTGGTCTCGAAACATGATGCACAAGCACTTTGGGCTTCTATAGGTTCTGTTCTCAATTCTCTTCTGTCATACATCCTGAAGAGAATACTGAACCAGAGACGGCCTGTTCCTACCTCAAGATCAGATCCTGGAATGTCGTCATCACATGCACAGTCAATCTTCTATATCGTCACATTTACTACCATCTTGAGTAACTTACTTTCTCTAGCTAAGTTTGTTATGATAATAATGTATATACAAGTCATTTGTAATCTAGCTCTCACATTTAAACTCTACTTGATCAAATTGTTAATGCTTATTCAATGATATGAGGTATATGAAATGCTACATGAATACTTAGGGAAACTGCTGGGGGCTCATGTAGCACATCCACTCTCCTTCAAAGTCTTCATTACTCAGATGCTTGATGTTATTTTCTGTGTGCATTGCACCTGTAATAGCAATTGCATCTACTGGAATTTTTCTTTCCATTTTTTTGCTTCAAAATGGGATTTGGTTTAGAAATTTATCTATATATGTGACTAAAGCATTCATTGATAGGAATGGGCCTATTGTTAGAAATAATAATAAGTGGGCCTATTATTGTAGATAATAATAAGTGGGCTTGTATTATAAACAGAAGTACTATAAATAGAAGTCTGGAGTCTAAGAATGGTAGGCTGTCATTTGGTTGGACTTAGACTTTGGAGATTGGGCATCTTGAATCGTCCAGTGCATACGTTCTGTACTGTTTTCGTCTACATCAATAAACTCTCTTCTCTGATCTTGTTTCTCCATAATTGCTATTGAATCTGCTGTGTTGAGAGTCGGATTTGCCAGTGTCTAACATTCATAAATTCTTAATATATGACTAACAAACTTAATCATGCCTCTATATGAGTAATAATTAAATTGAAGGGATCAAAACACATATCATACATGCAAAACACCGTTAAATTATGAATAAAAATATGTTTGGTCATATCTTAGGAATCTCCACATCTTTCAGCCGTTCTCCTAGTAATTTTCTCATTTAGTTTTGTTCTTTCTTTTCAATTTTTTCCCAAATGATATTTATAAAAGCATTAATTAGGCATGGAGTTAAAAAGATTGAGAGGTTTTATATTTATATTTGAGGTTGCCTCTATCAACCATACAGATAATGTGCTTACAACAATTATGAGTTTCTGTTGTACCTAATAATCAAACACAACTAGTGCATTGTGAAAACAAAAAATGCATCAACCAGTCAAAGAAACTTTCTATAAGATTGGTTTGTCTTATCTTCTTGCTGCCTTCTGGGGAGATGGCATTTTTGTGCCCCTGTACCATCTATGTTTCAACAGTTTTCTTGAATTAGCTCTCATTTGTGATTGTAGTGATTCAAAGTTTTGGACTGAGTGGACTCACAGCAGCACTCGGTGGGCTCATCTTTGCACTTGGCTGTTACTTTGTAAGTCTACAATAGTTGATGAGAAACCTCTTTCCTGAGGCATAACTTGTTTATCTGAATGACCTTTTGGACTAGTTAATAGTGCTTAAATTTTAACAAGAACAACTAATTGAGAACAGTTATATTTAGCTATGGAAACCTATGTTGATGCTAAAATATTTGCCTAGTGGATCTAACATTAGGTACCATGTCTTGAATTGCATGGCTGAAGCGTTGGTTTTGCCTTATCTTCCAAATAATTCAAATTTGATAACCTGTCTAGACATAAAGACTTGGCTTCCTATTAAGACAATTAATTTGGAAACATAATGTTGATTTTACAAACCAGTGTTGCACTGCAACATGATATATATGAGTATAACAAATATCTCTAAATACTTTTTTATCTAAAGGAAATAATATATGATGATTGATGGTTTTGGAATTTCATCTCATTCTTATTGTTCATTCTTTAGAAGGTTGTGATACAAAGGGCATCAGCCTTACTTTGCCACGATCCGTGTTTGATGAATTTATGGTATCAAATCTTAGACTTTATTGAATATATAAAGTTCATTTCACCCACCGCAGCCTTGTCAAAATTAAGGTGGCAAATATGATGATCAACACAATGACTGATACAAGCTCTATTGCCTATCATTGACAAACATGTGGCAACATATACACTTTGCCACCTATTATTATCAATGATGTGGCACATATCCACATCTGGAACTTGCACTGTGCTGGATGGGGTTCTAGATGTTCGACAGTTCTCAGAACGAATTGTAATATGGTTTTTTCTGAAGTTTATGTTCATATGGAAACTTCTTTGCTTTATCAAACAGATAGGATATGATGATAAGTCTTTCATTTAGCATGATCTTTGTTGCATTTAAAAATATCACTAGCAAACGTACCATATTAAATGTTCTTACTGATGTAATTAGTCAAATGGCATTCATTTACTTCTTCAAACTCCTATCAATTTACCGAAGTAGCCAACTGGTCCATTTGATAGTCGTTGTAAACCTTACATCAGTATAGCCTCAAGTTCTACAATCAATTAGCAGCCCAAGCGAAAATGCCATAGTATTTTGAAGGTTTTACTGGAAAGATTTTAGTATTCTCAATATTTGATATTTTCTTTATATGCAGTCATGGCTACGGATTTCACAAAAGCTTCATACAACTAGCCAAGTATTTGTGGGTGCTATGGTAGGGTTTGGCTTCTCCATTTTGTGGTTCTGGTTATGGGATACAATTATGTTGAAGGCATTTCAATCTCTCGTTTGGTTCCGGACTATTGTTATTCTTTCTGCTGCTGGGTTATGCTCCGGCTTTCTTGTTTATGTTATTCGATATTGGGTCCTAGATGAACAAATGAAGATTCCTGAAATCAAATACCCAGATAGAAGCTAACAATATTTGTTGCATACGTACGTACATGGTGGAAACTGATTTAACTTGAGAAGAACAAGTAATATTGTTTGATCTCGCAACAGGAAAAATGAACTTCTGGCTTTTGTCCACTTGTGTATTTCTTTTCCGTGCCTTTGTAGCTTGTGATATGTCATATAACCTTAAAAGCTTAAATTGCCTGATTGGTGGTTGAACTGCGTCATGAGATCATTTTTGGTATGATAGGACCTCTCCAATCAAAGTAGGAATTCACCAGAAATACTGGTAATAGATGTAAAAGTACTGAATTTCATTAACAACCTGAACGGATTACAGAGTCCCAAAGAAGGAGGTAAAACTCCAACTTCCCAGTCCCAGACTCAAGTCTAAACAGCCTGCCTTCCCTCAGCAGCTTTATTCTATTTATAGTCTTCTAAAAACAGAAGGTGGTTATTAGTTACTAACAGCCAATAACTAATAACAAGCTAGTCTATTTGGGCCTTCTAGAATATACTCTCCCATAGTATCTATTCTCATTAGTTAAACCAGTCGGATCCTTATCAATACCCCCTCCTTGCAGAACCAACTTGTCCTCAAGTTGGAGGTCAGGAAACTGATTCTGGATCATTTGAACCTCCTCCCATGAGTCTTCGAAATCAGGAAGATCTTTCCAATGCACTAGAATCTCCATCTTCCCTTCCTGATTAAGCCTACTGTCTCTCACAGTTTCAGGTCTCACTTGCAACTCACATTCTTCTGTGAGGCAATCTGGGAGGTTTTGGTAATACACTGTGGGTTTCAACACCTTCTTCAGTAAGGAAATGTGGAATACAGGATGTATTCTACTTCCTTCAGGCAACTTCAATCTGTAAGCTACAGGGCTTATTCTTTCTGAAATTTCATAGGGCCCATAAAATCTTGGACTCAGTTTTTGATTGATTCTTCTAGCCAAACTTTTCAGCTTGTAGGGCTGTATCTTTAGGAAAACTTTATCTCCCACTTCCAACACCTCTTCCCTTCTATGTTTATCAGCTTGCTGCCTCATCAGATTCTGTGCTCTGGCTAAATTTTCTTTCAATTCAGACAACATGCAGTTCCTCTCAGTTGTTAGCTTGGCCACTTCTTCCACTGATGTCAAACTGACATCACCCCTGATGATGGCAGGTGGGTTTTGCCCAAACAAAGCCTGATAAGGAGTACTTTTTAAGGAACTGTGGTAGTTGGTATTGAACCAGTATTCTGCCCAAGGGAGCCACTTGACCCATTGTCTAGGTTTCCTTCCACTTAAACACCTCAACTAGGTCTCTAAGCATCTATTGACCACTTCAGTCTGTCCATCACTCTGTGGGTGATATGCAGTGCTATATTTGAGCTTGGTCCCAGCCAATCTGAACAACTCTGACCAAAAAGAGCTCAAGAAGAGACTATCTCTATCACTGACAATTGATTTTGGAAATCCATGTATCCTGACTACTTCCTGAACAAAGATTTCAGCTACTCCTTTGGCATTAAAAGGATGTGCCAGAGGTATGAAGTGTGAGAACTTTGTTAGTCTGTCCACCACCACTAGAATAGTATCCTTGCCTTGAGATTTTGGTAGTCCTCCAATGAAATCCATGCTGATATCCCTCCACACATGTTCAGGTATTGGTAAGGGTTGTAATAACCCTGCAGGCTTCAGAGCTTGGTACTTATTCCTCTGGCAGATTTCACACCCCTGAATATAATCTTTGATGTCAGCCCTCATGCCTACCCAATAAAATAAGCTGGCAATCCTCTTCAGAGTCCTGAAATAACCTGAATGTCCTCCCACAGCAGAGTCATGGTATTCCCTGAGAATTCTCAGAATTCTAGGGGATCCCTTTGGCAAAATCAACCTCCCTTGGTAGTATAGTATCCCTCCTTTCATCTTGTAATCTGGGTATTGATCTGGCTGAGTCAAGATTTTCTGAATAACATTTCCCCATTTCTGATCTTTCTCCATTTCCTCCCCCAAACCTTCCCACTCTTGGCAAGATACCGTTGATAAACCTGCATAACTGGACTTCCTGGAAAGTGCATCAGCAGCTTTATTCTCAATCCCTGGTTTGTATTTAATGGTGAAATTGTACCCCATCAGCTTAGCTATCCATTTTTGTTGATCTTCTCCCATCACCTTCTGATCAGTCAGATACTTTAAACTCTTTTGGTCAGTATATACTTCAAAATGGCTTCCCAACAGATAGGGTCTCCATTTCTGAATAGCAAAAACAATAGCCATCAATTCCTTCTCATACACAGATTTGCTCAAGTGTTTGGGAGACAATTGTTTACTCATGTATGCTATTGGACCTCCTTCCTGCATAAGTACAGCCCCCAACCCTTTCCCTGAAGCATCTGTCTCCACTACAAACAGTTTATTGAAATCCGGCACCTTCAGAACTGGTACTGAAACCATAGCATCCTTCAGTTCTTGGAAAGCTTTGGTAGCCATATCATTCCATTTAAAACTGTCTTTCTTTAATAATAAGGTGAGAGGGGAAGCAATCTAACTGTAACCTCTCACAAATCTCCTGTAATATCCAGTTAGACCTAGAAATCCTCTCAATTCCTTCAGATCTTTAGGGATATTCCACCTTTTCATAGCCAAAATCTTTTCAGGATCAGCAGCTACTCCTTCCTCTGAAATGATATGTCCCAAATAACTCAACTGCCTTTGGCCAAAAGAACATTTCTTCAAGTTAGCTACCAACTGATTTTTCTGCAAAGCCTCCAAAACCAGTCTTAAATGTTCTTTATGATCCTCTTTTGACTTGCTGTAAACCAATATATCATCGAAGAACACCAAGGCAAATTTCCTTAAGAAAGGTCTCAATACCTCATTCATGAGTGACTGAAATGTTGAGGGAGCATTAGTCAGCCCAAATGGCATGACTAAATACTCATAATGTCCCTCATGAGTCCGGAAAGCTCTCTTATGAGTATCCTCTGTCTTCATTCTAATTTGATGGTACCCAGATTTAAGATCCAACTTAGAAAATATTCTGGCACTACCTAATTCATCCAAAAGCTCTTCTATCACAGGTATGGGAAACTTATCTGGGACAGTCACTCTATTAAGGACCCTATAATCCCCACAAAACCTCCAACCACCATCTTTCTTCCTTGCCAATAAAATGGGACTACTGTAAGGACTATTACTGTTTTTAATAATTCCAGATTTCAACATCTCTCCAATGATTTTCTCTATTTCATTCTTTTGATCAAATGAATACCTGTAAGGTCTGAGATTTGGAATATTAGCCCCCTCCTTGATGCTAATTGCATGATCACAATCCCTTGCAGGTGGGAATTTCAGTGTAGCTGAGAAAACTTCTGGAAAATCTGCAATCAACATTTCCCATTCATCTTCAATTTCTGACTTCTGTTCATGTTCCTCCTGCAATCCTTCACAGTATAATAGGTAGCCATCCCCCACCTGATGTAATATTTGGGTCATAGTCTTCATTGAAACTTCCATCTGATTAGAATTCATATTGCCTTGGATGATGCAAGTGTCTCCTTTATTCCTCCATCTGATTATTTGTTGCTTAAAATTTATCTCCATGTCTCCCAGTTCAGTCAACCATTCCATTCCAAGGACTAAATCAACACCTCCTAGATCCAGTAGATAGAAGGTTTGAAGAATTTTCACTCCTTGTACATTTATACCAACTTCAGTACATTTGCCCACATTAGGTATACAGTCTCCATTCCCTATTTGTACCTTATATCCCTTGATTGGACTATAAGGTATATTCCACCTTTCTGCTAAAGCTCTGGACATGAAGTTATGAGTGGCCCCACTGTCAATGAGAATTGTCACTTCCACCTCTCTCCCCTGCCATTGTATTTTTCCCTTCACCTTGAAAGTAGTCATAGAAGGAATGCCTTCCTTGCTCAAAATGGACAACTGCATATTATTCATGTCCATCTGAATTGCCTGGTTGGTTTGATCCCCTTCTGATCCCATATACTCCACATCAGATATCTCTTCCCCTTCAGAATTTTCCACCAAAATCATCTTGTAATTTTTCATTCTGCAGATGTGTCCTCTTCCCCAATTCTCACCACACTAAAAACATAATCCTTTCTTACTCCTCTCAAGCCGTTCCTCCTGAGACAATCTAGGTCCATGCTTCTTTAATTCCTTCCCTGCATTGTTAAATTTCTCATCCAATATCACCTTAGGTGCATTACCAGAGCTATTAGTACTTCCAGGATAACTCCTCCACCTACTGTTGTCATTCCAGTTTTGTCCCTGAGATTGATTGAACACCTTATTTTGACTCTTCTTCTTACCTTCCTCTTTGTTTTTCACAAACATAGCCTCATTGTTCTTGTTTTCAATCAATGACACAGTATCCATTACCTCAGCTAGAGTCCTGGTAGTATACAGCTTCAACTCTGCCCTTATATCCCTCTTCAGCCCCTTAAGGAAGACTCCTTTCAGCACTTCTTCAGACAAATGTCCCTGAGATGAAATGGCTGTTTCAAATTGGTTTCTATACTCAGCTATAGAACCTTTTTGCTTCAGACTGAATAGAGATCCCAAAGGATCTTGGACTACTTCCGGTTGAAATCTCCTGATCAAAGCATTAGTGAATGCGTTCCAATTTAAGTGTAATGCCTGTCTCTCCCACCATTGGAACCAGCTAAGAGCTTGATCTTCCAAGGCGATCACTGCAACATCTAACTTCTCTCCTTCTGCCGTTCTATTCAACCGGAAATACCGGTTCATCCTCATTAACCATCCGCTAACATCCTTACCACTGAAAACCGGTAGATCAATCTTCCTTCCCATACTCGGATTGTTTCTGTGATTCCGGCGCGGTTCATACTCAGCTCGCGAACCTGTATGATTCGTTTGATTATCCGACTCGTCTGAAGTATCATCATTCCTCGCATGCCTGTGCTGAGCTGTACGATGCGAGTTGTTCGACCTCTGC